GCAGGGATAGCAGAGTATGGAGGCTCTAGTGGGAGAGGAAGGCTGTCTATCTGATGAGTTTGTAATCATGCTCAGATGCCGAGGAGCTCAGAAGGTGGGCGACTGTGACCAGTGATAGTCATGTATATAGAGATTAGAAATGCATGTGAAAACGTCTCAATGTCAAGAGCCCTGGAATGAATTTTTCTGGATGAAACTGTGTGTTTTGACAATGAAGTGGGGATCTTTTTTAAACGCTGGAACCTCATTTAATTTTATGTCTTATAGAGTTTACAATGAGTAAAAGATTATATAAGCGTAATAATTCATCTGTAAACCTAGAAATGTATAGCCAATTTTGAAAGAGATCTACCCTAGCTCAGAAAAATGTTATGGAATAGGTTAATGCTGTTGTAATGAAATGCTTCCTCTAATTAAAAAAATATATAAATTAAAAAAAGTTAAGAATTCCAATACAATTTACAAAATTTGCTGTGAACATTGCTTACAGAGTCAGCATTCTTTTTATTTAGGACTGTTTCTTTTCTTTTTTTTTTTGTATGGGGTCTCCTGTAGTTCATGGTGGTCTAGAACTCATGTATTTGAGGATGACCTTGAAATCTAAACAAATTTTCATCTTATCTGTTTTATATGTGTATGCACATGCATGTGTGAAGCTCAAAGGACACCTTGCAGGAGCTGATCTCTCCTTTCACCATGTGGATCATAGGGATTAAATTTAGGTTGTCAGTCTTCACAGCAAGTGCTTTTACCCACCGAGCCATCTTACCAGACCAATACTGAACTGCTAAATCTCCTGCCCCCACTTCTCAAATGCTGGTATTAGAGGCATCCTCCACCTGCTTGCTTGCTTGTTTGTTTGCTTGTTTTTGAGACAGGGTCTCATCATGTAGGCCTGACTGGCCTGGAACTCTCATGTAAAACAGTCTGGCCTCAAACTCATAAAGATCCACTGGCCTCTGTCTCCCAAGTACTGGGATTAAAGGTATACACCACACCTTGCTGATACCTGATTTTTATTTGGAGGTATTTCAAATAAGAATGTTAAATCGCAATGAATGAGGCCTAAGGGTGTGAGCTTACAGTTTTCTAGATATCTTACAAACAAGATCATAAATTTCATTTATAATAAAAATGTATCTTAATTCCCTTGTACAGCCTTTGTGACCTAGGGTTTCGCCTTAATAGTTGTAATCTTATCCAAGTCACCTCAGAAACCACCTTTAGAAACCCTTTGAGATGTAACTTCACAAGCCACCCAAATCATATATATGCCTATTATAAAGGCACTTAAGCATTACTCTTTTGAGGAGCCCATGCCTGCACTTGAGTGTATATTATTCTTTTCCTGGGTGCCTCTATATCAAGCCTGTGATTAAATCTATGTTAAAGTTTCTTCTTAATAAACTCCAACTCTGTTTCATTATGACTCATCCGGAAATCATTTTTGTTGATTTTTAAAGTATTTTATTTATTATTTTTATTTAATGTGTATGAGTGTTTTGCCTGCATGTATGTAAGTGTACCATGTGTGTGCAATGCCCACAGAAGTCAGAAGAGGTCATTGGATTCCCCTGGAACTGAAGTTCCAGACAGTTGTTAGCTACAATGTGGGTGCTGAGATTTGAGCCTGTGTCCTCTGGAAGAACAGTAGGTGTTCCCAACCACTGAGCCATCTCTCTAGCCCCATCATCCTGAAATTTGTTCCCACTGAAAAGTCAGCAATCAGGCTTCACTTTAGTAAAGGACTCTGAAAAGAACTCCTCAGGCTGGTGTGTGGTGCTCTCTCCTGCCCCCACCCCCAACTGCTGCTGACATTACTGATACAAGGGGAATTGGGGAATCTTAGCGTTCTTAGTCTCATTAATGAAAGAATTTAAGAATGAACTCAAATGGAAGTTTGCAGACCCTTTTATTGGAATTTAAAAGAAAATTCCTTAGGGCAGCAAGCTGTAAATCTCATCAGCTGCTGGGAGGAGAATGGAGGAGAGAAGGGAAAAGGCATGCTGTTTTAAGCAGGCATGGAGGTGAGATACATGGTTGACTAGCAGGTACATGGCAGGAAGGGGAGCTTTACAGAAAGTAAGGAAGCCAAAAATGTTGGGACAGACACAAAATGTTAAGGAAAGCATGCTTAGAAAAGAGAAGAAAAGAAAAGGCAATTTCTTTAGCTGAGCCTGAAGATAATTTTATATGCAGTTTTTAGTCTTTATTTTAGTTTATTTTGTTATTTTATTTTTATTTTGAGGGATCTATAGCCCCAGCTGCCTTGGAACTCAGTATTTAGACTAGGCTGGCCTCCATCTCATAGAGATCTACCTGCATTTGCCTCTGAGTCCTGGGATTTAAAAAAAAAAATGTGCCTACATAGAACTCCCCTTCACATGAAGTCAGCTGTAGAATTCTCTACTTGGGGCTTCATGACAAAATTTTTAAAGGTTTGAATTTTGAAATAGTTTAGATTTTGGATTTTGGGTTAAAGAAGCTCAATCTGCCCCCAGCCCTTAAGATTCCCCCCACTTTGTGTGTGTGTGTGTGTGTGTGTGTTGATAGAGGACCTTACTACTCACTAGGTAGCCAGGGTGACCTCAAACTCACAGCAATCCTCCTTCTCCTTTCTTCTGAGTTCTGAGTACTGGATTATAGACCTGACTTGGAATGCTTAACCTACACTGTTAAACATTGGAATGAATTTGGGGGTGGAGAGGTGACTTGGTGGTTAACAACACTGCTTTTGCAGAGCATCCTAGTCCATTTCCAGTAACCACATGGTAGATAACAGTTACCCATAACAACAGTTCCATGAGATCCAATGCCCTCTTCTGACCCCTATGAGCATCGCATGCATAGGTGTACTTACATACATGCAGGCAAAACACTCATACACATAAACTAAAAATAAATCAATCAAAAACATTTTAAGTTAGAACAAATGTAAAGATCTTAATGACTTTTAATCATGGTTCAAGAACCCTGCAGTCCTCTGAGCCAGAACAGCCTTAAAGAATGTTGGAGATGCTAAATGGTTAAACATTTGTGGACAGAAAATGGAAATGAGGTACAGAGGGCAGGCTGCTTGGCTATAGGTCAGGCTTTACATTATTTGTACATGCTTTGAACAGTGGACCACTGCATTTGGCTGCTGTGATTGGCTAAGACTTGGGTATTTGTTACAAATGTACGTTCTGCACTGGGTTTTCAGTTCCTTTACAGACTAAGGTTGTTTCCTGAATGAAGATTCCTGTATGGAGTCGCTCTCCTGCCCAAGTCTAGTAACAGTACTTACTAAATGTGGTTATAAAAGTTCATTAGATGAAAATAGATAACTTGTTGATTGGGAAGGAAGGAGGAGAAGGAATCACAATTCCCAGGTTTCTGTTTGGGAAACTGGATGAAAATAGAAAGCAGAAGGGAAGAAACAGATTGGAAGAGACTTGCAGGATGTGGAAACGATGACTTCATTTTGGACATGTTGAACTGCATTAAGTATTTTTGGTGTTGCTGTTGTTGCTGTTTTTACTTTTAGAAACAGGGTTTCCTTGTAGCCCCAGGTGGCTTGGAATAACATTTAAATTTTTTAAAGATTTTTTAAACCTGGCAGGGGAGACACCATGATCAGGAAGGTGGTTTTCCCAGGGCGAGGCTTATCCATTGCACTTGGGATGTGCTGACCTCCGCGATTTCCTCAAATGCAGGAAACTCGACTGCATAATTTATGGCAATGGGGGCTGCGTTCATGCTCTCCCCTGGGAAAAAAAAATTGGTGTGTATATGTGTGAGCTTGTATGAATTTATGTGCACTATCTGGATACAGGAGCTCCAGGGGACCAGAAGAAGGCATCAGATCCCATGGAACTGGAGTTATAGTTGGTTGTTAGCTACCAAGTGGGGTGGGAACCAAACCTAGGCCCTCTGCAAGACTAGCCATTGCTCTTAACTGCTGAGCCATCTCTCCAGCTCCTAATTTTAAAATGTGTGTGTGTGACAGAGAGAGAGAGAGAGAGAGAGAGAGAGAGAGAGAGAGAGAGAGAGATCAGCAGTTGAGAGTACTTGCAGCTCTTCAAGAGGTCCGAGTTTAATTGCCAGTACTTTCATTGGGCAGCTCACAACTACCTCTAACTCCAGCTCCAGGAGGTCCAACACCCTCTCCTGGCCTCCCCAGGCACCCTTGTGGATGTGCACCTAGTTACACAAAGACTCACACAGTACATGTAAATTTTTTTTAAAACTCTAAAAGAAAAATAAACACTTTAAAAATTTAGTATTTTTTCCAATAAAAATTTGGCAAACTCAGTTTTGAAAAAACCTCCATTTCCTTATTCCTGAGTAATGGCTTAGCAGGAGCTGGAAATCAGTGCTGCCAGTTCTTTTCCCTGTGGTGCTTCATAGACATTACTGGATTGGTTTCTGGGATCTCTTGCTATTAAGTTGGTGTCTAATTATCATTCTTTTATGGATAATCCATTTTTTTCTATTTGATGACTTGAATTTTTTTCTTTTTCCTTCATGCTAAACATCTTCAGTAGAGCACATGTATATATGAATTGACTTTCAGTATTTTGCACTTACTCTGTAATTTCAAGAACCTTAGAAAATTCTTGGGCTGAAGAGATGGCTCAACAGTTAAGAGCACTGGCTTGCTCTTGCAGAGGACCCAGGTTCAATCCCCAAACCCACATAGCTGCCAACAACCATCTGTAACTCCAGCTCCAGAGAATCTAACATCTTCTTCTGGTCTCTGTGGGCACTGCATGCTCATGGTGTACTTATATAAATACAGGCAAAACTGTCATACACATAAAATAAATAAATGAAAAAAATTTAAAGAACCTTAGAAAATTCTCAGTATCATCTCTGCAAATATTACACCATTCTTTTGTTTCTTTTTTTCCTGAAAGTAGTTAGATAAATCTTTCATGTTGTGGTGGTTTGAATAAGAATGTCCCCCATAGGCTCCAAGTATTTGAACATTTTGTCTCCAGTTGGTGGCGCTGTTGTGGGAGGCCTTAGAAGGTGTGACCTTGCTGGAGGAAGCATGTCCCTGGGTGAGGCTTAGAGAGTTCTTAAGCCTTTCAGGATCTCCAGTCACTCTTTGCTTCCTGTGCCTGCTTGGAGATGTGAGTGCTTAGCTTCTGCTCCTACTCCAGATACCTCTGCCTCCATGCCTCCCCACCACAATGGACTCTTGCTTCTTTGGGACCGTAAGATAAATCGACCTCCTTTTATAAGTTCCCTTGGTCATGGTGTTTTATCACAGCAACAGAAAAGTAACTAAGACACATGTGTTCTACATAGTGCTATGTAAGACACCACTGCAGAGCATACTGTCAAGAAACAATAACCATGCTATTATGCTCACAGATCCCACTATACAGGACTTTGGATGGATACATCAGATACAGGTTGTCTCCATTTCACAATGTCAGGGTGTCAGATGGGAAGACTTGAACTTGTAATTGCTGGGGATTTTTACATATTTAGGCTTCAGTGACAAGAACTGGACTGGAGTGTTACCACATGGCTTTTTCCATGTGGTTTGTGCTTCTCACATCATAATGACTTATGTGGAAGCTCCTGGCTCCAATGGTGACTGTTCTAGCAGACAAGGTAGCTTGCGTGGACTTTTGGTATCTAGCCTCAGAAGTCACAGAGTATCCCTTCCACCTTTATTTAGTCATAGCCTGCTCAACTTGAAGGATGTGGGAGCTTGATGCACCTCTTAATGCCAGGAGAATTTATGGACATGATTTAAAACTAACATAATGGATTTTCTCTAATTTTATGCTGGATTCTAGAAACCGATTTTTAAATTTTATATTGTTATTATTATTATTATTATTACTATTATTATTTCAAGACAAGGTCTTACTCTATAGCTTTGCCTGGCCTGGAACTCAATATGTACATCAGGGTGGCCTTGAACTCACAGAGATCCTCCTGTCCCTGCCTCTTGAATGCTAGGATTAAAGGTATGCCCTACCATGCCTGGTTATTACTTTTTTTTTTTTTCCTTTTAGGTAGGCTCTCACTCTAGCCCAAGGTGGCCTGGAATTACTGTGTAGCCTAGGCTAGCTTCAAGCTTTTGGCAATTCTCCTGCCTCAGCCTCAGTTGTGAGCCACCATGAACAAGTTCAGGGCCAGCCTGGGCTCTGGGCTACATGAGACCTTATGCATGCCTTTAATCCCAGCACTTAGGAGGCAGAGGCAGGTGGATCTCTGTGAGTTCAAGGCCAGCCTGTTCTACATAGCAAGTTCCAGCCTGGTCTACAAAGCTACACAGTGAGACCCTGTCTCAAAAAAATAAACATCCAAACAAACAAAAAGAAGAAAAAGAAAAGAAAGGCCAGCAAGATGGCTCAGCAGGTTAGGGTACTTGCTGCCAAGGCTAACAAGCTGAGTTCAATTCCTGGAACCCACACAGTGGAAGGACAGAACTAGCTCTTGAAAGCTGTCCTGTGACCTCCACAAACATACTATGGCACTCATGTGCCCTCCTCCACTAAATTAATTATTAATTAATAACGAAACAAAAGAAATGAATCTCACTTGTGAACATTGATGTGAAGATCTTCTTTATTTCTTTTTTGAGATTCAAGTCTCATTATTTCTGGTTGGCCTCAAACTCATTCTGTAGCTGAAGATGACGTTGAACTTCTGATCCTCCTACTTCCATCTTCTGAGTGCTGGAATCACAGGTGAGCACAACCACACCTGGTTTCGTGTGGTGCTGGGAATTGACCTCAGGGGTTTGTGCATGGTAGGCAAGTCTTACTTTGCCAACTGAGCCTCATCTCTAGCCCCAACACAAAAAGCTTCAAATAGTTATGACATCAAATCTAGTAAAGAAAATAAAACAACACATAAAGACAAATAGTGCAGCACAGTGTAAGGATGGTACAATGTGAAAGTCCAATCTCCCTTGGTGTCAGACTGAAGAGAAGCCCATATGCTCCTGTTAGTGGCTAGAAATAAAGCATTAATGGCTGGTGAGAAGACTGAGTAGGTAAAGGTGTCTGTCACCAAACCTAACAACCCAAGTTCGATCTCTAGGACTCACCTAGTAGAAAGAGAAAACTGACTCCCCTAAGTTGTCCTCTGACCTCCGCACGAGTGCTGTAGCACACAAGCAGCCCGTTTTCCCCGACACACAAATAAAAATTGTAAGTGAAAGTTTTTAAATAAAAGCATTAAAGAGTTAAGAACCATAATTAAAAATAAAATCTCTTAGCCACCTAGGGATATTAACTTGGTATAGGAATATATAAAGTAATAAATAAACATAATTATGAAGCTACAGAAGCATTTCTGTGAGAATCAAGAACACAGCAAGCTTGCTGCAGCTTATATGTTAAATATACTCCAAGTTCTAGTCTGTATTTAAGAAAAAAATCTGAACAACGAGCATGAAATGTAAAAAAAAATTTGTAGACAGTATCATTTCTTGGCTAGAAGCTCTCAGAGACCCAACAAGAAAAAAGCTAAAATAACTGTCTTAGTATTGTTGCTAAATGTGTAATCAATATGAAAAATGGATGTCAATAGCAGTTCTGCAATCCCAAGTAACATGAATCCATACACTTGTGTAATAGTGGGGAGAAGACCACATTTCCAGCTGCATCAGAAACAGTGATGCTTATGAATAAATCTAATGCAAAATGTATGACACCTTTATGAAGAACATTATGAGGGGCTGGAGAGCTAGCTCAGTGGTTAGGAGTTTCCTGCTTTTCCAGAGGACCCAAGTTCTGTTCCCAGCTCATACTACTGGCAGCTCACAACCACCTGTCACTCCAGCCCCAGGAATCTGACACCCTCTTCTGACCTCAATGGGTACCTGTACTCGCATATCATACACTGCACAGACACACATACATATAAGTAAATTTTAAAAAAATCTTTGGGGATTGCAAAGATGGCTCAGCGGCTAAGAGCAATGACTGCTCTTGCAGAGGACCCAGGTTCAATTCCCAGCACCCACACGGCAAATGACAACCTTCTGTAACTCCAGTTCCAGGGGATCTGACACCCTCTTCTGGCCTCTTTGGGCATTGCACGAACCTACGTGGGTGCATGTACCTACATGTATGCATTACATTCATACACATAAAATAAAAATAATAAATAAAGGGGCTGGAAAGATGGTTCAGTGGTTAAGGACACTGGCGGTTCTTGCATAAGACCTGGGTTCAAATTCCAGCACCCCCATGGCAGCTAACAACTGTCCTAACTCCAGTTCCAGGGGAGGCGATGACCTCTTTGGTCCTCTGAGGGCACTGCATGACACAGCTTCATTTACATATATGTAGGCGATACACACATACACATAAAATAAAAATAATAAAAAATATAAAAATAAATAAATAATCTTTTTAAAGCTTGGCATGGTGATGCATGCCTTTAATCCCAGCACTCAGGAGGCAAAGGCAGGGGGAGGCCAGCCTGGTCTACATAGTAAGTTCCAGCTGGGGCTATAGGGAGACCCTGTCTCAAAAAAACAAAACAAAACAAACAAGAAACTTTAGAAAAAGAATGTGGGGCTGGAGAGACGGCTCAGCGGTTAAGAACACTGGTTGTTCTTGCAGAAGACCTGGGTTTGGATCCCAGCACCCACATGGCAGCTAACAACTGTCCGTAACTCCAGTCCCAGGGGATCTGACAGCCTCTTCTGATTGCTGCAGGCCTTGTGCGACACTGTTGCTCTTACCTACATGCAGGAAATACACGCATACGCATTAAAAAATAATAATAA